TGGGGGGTTGTCTACTGTACATCAAGTCATGGAAGAAAAAAATATTCAATCGGTGTAGGTGCAGGAGTCTTGACTGGCAGTGCATATAAATAGAAGGTTTTATGTCAGTGCTTGAGTTATACTACAGGGGCGGGGTGAGGGGAGAGTGTGGGTGAGGCTTGGGGTGAGGGGAGTGTGGGGTGAGGGCTTGGGGTGAGGGGGGGGTGTGGGGTGAGGGGCTGGGGTGGTGGGATCTGTATACTGTAGAAGAAGACTTGCGATTAAAAGGGATTTTTTCTCAATGGCTTCCTGGAATTTGTCACTCAAGTTCCGAGTGGGTGGGATTTATCGTTAACTCTTATAACAGAAAGACCTACCACGCTTGCTGCTCTCTACCACACCCATTTACTACCACACTACCACCTCCTACCACTGCTATTCCCTACTACACTACTATCTCTTGCCACACCACTACCTCCTACCACACTACCACCCTCCTACCACACTACAACCCACCTACCACGCTACCACCCACCTACCACCACCCACCTACCACTGCCACCCACCCACCTACCACACTACCACCCACCTACCACACTCACCACCCACCTACCACACACTACCACCCACCTACCACGCTACCACCCACCCACCTACCACGCTACCACCCACCTGCGCTACCACCCACCTACCACGCTACTCCACCTACCACGCTACCACCCACCTACCACGCTACAACCCACCTACCACACCACCCACCTGCCACTACCACCCACCTGCCACTTCCACCCACCTGCCACGCTACCACCCACACCTGCCACCCCTGCCACCTACCACGCTCTGCCACCACCACTGCCACCCTACCACGCTACCACCCACCTACCACACTGCCACCCACCTACCACCCTGCCTACCACCCTTCTACCACCTGCCTTCTCCCACCCACCTCCACACCTGCCCACCTCCACGCTACCACCCACCTGCCACGCTACCACCCACCTGCCCTGCACCCCACCTACCCACACTACCACCCACCTGCCACCCTACCACCCACCTACCACCCACCTACCACCCACCTGCCACGCTACCACCCACCCACCTGCCACCACCACCCACACACTACCACCCACCTACTACCCACCTACCACCCACCTGCACGCACCACCCACCTACCACCCCACCTACCACCCACCTACCACCTCCACCCACCTACCACACTACCACCCACCTGCCACTCCACACGCCCACCCTACCCACCCACCTCACCACCCACCTGCACACTGCCACCCTGCCACCTTCCTGCCCACCTGCCACACCACCCACCTGCACACCACCCACCACCACGCTACCCACCTGCCACCCCACCACACTACCACCCACCCACACTGCCACCACCTACCACACTACCACACCTGCCACACTCCCACCCTCCACCCACCACCACGCTGCCACCCACCCACCCTGCCACCTCCCACCTACCACACTACCCACCTACCACACTACCACCCACCTACCACGCTACCACCCACCCACCCACCTGCCACACTACCACCCACCTACCACTCCACCCACCTACCACACTTCCACCCTCCTACCATCACCCACCTGCCACTACCACGCTACACCCACCTCTGCCACCACCCACCTACCACGCTACCACCCACCTTCCCACCTACCACCACCACCACGCCTACCACCCACCTACCACACTACCACCCACCTGCCACACACCTTACCCACCACCACACACCACCCACCCACCTACCACACTGCCACCTACCACCCACCTGCCACTACCACCCACCTACCGCTACCACCCACCTGCCACTCTGCCACCTACCACACCTGCCACACTACCACCACCTGCCGCCACCACCCACCTACCGCCACCACCCACCTACCGCGCTACCACACTACCACCCACCTGCCACGCTACCACCCACCTACCACACTACCACCCACCACCTCCCCTACCCACCTACCACGCTCACCACCCACCTGCCACGCACCCACCTACACGCTACCACCCACCTGCCACGCTACCACCCACCTACCTGCCACCCACCCGCAACCACCCACCTGCCATGCCACCACCCCCTGCCATGCCACCACCCACCTACCATGCCACCACCCACCTACCACATACCACCCACCTGTACCCTACCACCCACCTACCACGCTACCACCCACCTACCACCTTCTCCACCCACCTACCACGCTACCACCCACCTACCACCTACCACCCACCTGCATACCACACCCACCAGGCCACCACCCACCTACCACGCCTGCACCCACCTACGCTACCACCCACCTGCCACACTACCACCACCTACCGCCACCACCCACCTGCCACGCCACCACCCACCTGCCACGCCACCACCCACCTACCACGCTTGCCACCTACCACGCTACCACCCACCCACCTACCACGCTACCCACCCACCTACCACGCTACCACCCACCTACCACGCTACCACCCACCTGCCACGCTACCACCCACCTACCACACTACCACCCACCTACCACACCACCCACCTACACTCCACCCACCACGCCACCACCCACCTACCACGCCACCACCCACCTACCACGCCACCACCACCTACCACTACCACCACCTACCACGCTACCACCCACCACCACACTACCACCCACCCACCTACCGCTACCACCCACCTACCACACCATCACCGCATCTTCACCACTCCTGATTTACACTTCAATAATTTTACCATCAAACTACTAACCACATCTTGTCACACCATGCCGACCACACTGTTCCCCTATAAACACATGTTTGCTTACACCATAAATGTATGTAAGAACACAAGATCTGTTACCATAACCAAACAAATGGGATGAAACATACTTATGATTGTTCGTCTCTCTCTCTCTCTCTCTCTCTCTTTACCTTTCCACACTCTTCCTTTTTTATCCCATATTTTCTCCTAGTCTTCCTCCCTCATAAATTAACCTATCGTCTTCCTTCCCTCCATCTCTCACACCTCCTTCCATTCCTCTCTCTCGGTCCTTTTCTCGAGTGTACTTGGAGAAATTGCCTGTGTAAACTCCTGAGAGAGAGAGAGAGAGAGAGAGAGAGGGGGGGGGGGGGCTATATTCTTCCTCTCACAGCTGCTGAGAGAGGATCAAACAAACTGAATTACCTTGGAGTACAGTGAGTGCATGTGTGTGTGTGTGTGTGTGTGGTTATTTTTCCTCCTCCTTTCCCTCTAATGATGCTGATAATACCCATAAAACCATCTTCATCACCTCCTTCCGCGTATATGGAAGATCCTTTGAGATCTTCTTACCACCAGAGGATCACCTGGGTCCTATTTATAAGATGGGTCGCGTCTCTGAAGAAAAAAAGCAACCCCAGTCTTCATAATCTGATCTTATCTGTTATTTGGTATTAACGAAGAGGAAGAAGAGAGAGAGGGAGGAACAGGAGGTGAGGGGGATAAATGTACAGTGGGCGGCTTACTGGGCTTCTGGTGTGGCGTTGATTGGGACCCCACAGTCGGATGAAGGAGGGAGGGAGGGAGGCTGGTAGTGAGAGAGAGGGAGGGAGGGAGGTAAGGAGGGAGGGAGGGAGGGAGGAAGGAGGGAGGGAAGGAGGTAGGGAGAGAGGGAGGCTGGTAGGAGAGAGAGAGAGGGAGGAGGTAAGGAGGAGGGAAGGAGGTAGGTAGAGAGGGAGGGAGGGAGGTAGGTCCTCAAGATTCCTGCGTCCATTAAGGAGTTGGGAAAAAAAAAAAAAGGAGGGAGGAACATCTTGTGTTGATTTTGTTTCACTATACTGATGGTATGTTGTTTTGTCTGTCTGTCTGTCTGTCTGTGTCTCACCTGCCTGTCTTTCTGTCTGTATGTACTCTATCTTCCCCTTCTGTACGTGCTCTGTTCTCTCTGTCTGTGTCTACCTGCCTGTCTTTCTGTCTGTATGTACTCTATCTTCCCCTCTGGTGTGCCTGTTCTCTGTCTGTGTTACCTGCCTGTCTTTTCTGTCTTGTGCGGCGTACTTTATCTTCCCCTCTGTACGTGCCTTCTCTGTCTGTCTGTGTCTTCCTGCCTGTCTTCTGTCTGTATGTACTCTATCTTCCCCTCTGTGTGCCTTCCTGTTGTCTGTCTGTGTCTACCTGCCTGTCTTTCTGTCTGTATGTACTCTATCTTTCCCTCTGTACGTGCCTGTTTGTCTGTCCTTTTATATCTGTCTGTCTATTTCTCTCTCTGTCTTCTGTAACCAAGTAATTGGCTGGTAGCCTATTATCAAAATTGTTAGTTCATCCCTGTTCTGAGCTGTTGTCTCCTCCTAAGCCTCCTCTAACACTTGGTCACTTCCTGGTCCCAACAAAGCCTTACACGTTCTCAAGTTCCCTGAGAGGCTATTATTCCCTCTGAAAAAGACGTGTTGATCACCAGGAAGGTTAGTCCCTGTCCATCATTATTTCACATGATTAAACAACCTAACACTAACCTGACCTGACCTCCAGGTAATTAATCAACAGGTAAAATAAACTAAGGAGGAGGAGGTGGTGGCTAATTTTACAGGTCACCCTGATATTTAAGTGTGTGTGTGTGTGTGTGTGTGTGTGTTAGTCTGCGTTAGTCACAACGAGAACCCCCACAGGTAGCTGTGAGGGCTCGTCCGGCCCTCAGTGTTTATGAGTTGATGGCAATACGTTGGTTTCTGTGTGTCTTCATGGCGACTATCAGTGTAAATACTTGTAACAGACATATTTCGTTACAAATATCCATAATCTTGTTCACTATCCTTGGTGATAACGGAAGTGACAGCAATCTAAAAGGAGTTAACAACTAAGCCTCCACAGTGATGTTGTTATGGGGTCACAGTTCACACGAGCGTATCATAAGAGACTTCTATCATCTACTGTATATTTTTATCGAGTTTCTTCCTACATAATGCGTCTTTCCCCCTTACCCAATGTTACTTCCTGCTTTATACTGTGTTCTTACCTCTACACTGTTCTTGAAAGTAAGAGATTAGGGACAGCAATACTCACCCTGAAAGTAAGGGATGAGGCGACACATGACTGGGCCGAAGATAAAGTCTCGAGCAAGGAACCGACCAGGTGAAAGGCATGCAAACACACCCAGCAGGAGGTCGGAGAACGCCTGCAGGAGAGAAAAACAATAATTAATATCATTGGTAAAAACAGAACAGTTTTCTGTGGTTCTGAAGAGAGAGAGAGAGATAGAACCTAACCAAAATGGTTTATAGTTTTTTATACAATTTATATTTAGATGAAGTTGAATAAACGTTTGAATAAAATATTTAAACCTTTATTTTTCTTAAGAATAAAAATAATATTTAGAAATAAAAGATCTCTCTTAATTTATATATATATATATATATATATATATATATATATATATATATATATATATATATATATATATATATAAAGTATTTATTATGAATAAAGTGTGATGAGAGGCGTTCGCAGGTTATAGCATCTGCTAATGTGACAGACAGGCAGGATCGTAATTATTATCTGACTCTGAAAGTAAGAGTCTCGACGCTCAGCTCTGGGTCTACTGGGACTGAGGTCTAATAGAATTGGGGTCTACTTATTAACGCTGGTATCTCATAGAACTTGAATCTATTAGTAATAAGGACCTACTACAGGTAAGGACCAGAGAGCGAAGGACAACAGGTAACGTTGATAGATAAGAGGAAGATAAGATAAGAGAGAGATAAGATGTGTCTGAGACAGGTAGACAGTAGTGTGTGTGAGACAGGTAGAGTAGTGTGTGTCTGCACAGGTAGACAGTAGTGTGTGTGTGAGACAGGTAGACAGTAGTGTGTGTGTGAGACAGGTAGACAGTGTGTGTCTGAGACAGGTAGACAGTAGTGTGTGTGTGGGGAGACAGGTAGACAGTAGGTGTGTGGTGAGACAGGTAGACAGTAGTGTGTGTGTGGGAGACAGGTGTAGACAGTAGTGTGTGTGAGACAGGTAGATAGTAGTGTGTGTGTCTGAGACAGGTGGACAGTAGTGTGTGTGTGAGACAGGTAGACAGTAGTGTGTGTGTGAGACAGGTAGACAGTAGTGTGTGTGAGACAGGTAGACAGTAGTGTGTCTGAGACAGGTAGACAGTAGTGTGTGTGAGACAGGCAGTAGTGTGTCTGGAGACAGGTAGACAGTGGTGTGTGTGTGAGACAGGTATGTAGTAGTGTGTGTGTTGAGACAGGTAGACAGTGGTGTGTGTGTGTGGAGACAGGTGGAGACAGGTAGTGTGTGTGAGACAGGTAGACAGTAGTGTGTGTGTGTGAGACAGGTAGACAGTAGTGTGTGTGTGTGTGAGACAGAGACAGTAGTGTGTGTGTGTGAGACAGGTAGACAGTAGTGTGTGGGAGACAGGTAGACAGTAGTGTGTGAGACAGGTGGGAGCAGTAGTGTGTGTGTGAGACAGGTAGACAGTAGTGTGTGTGTGTGAGACAGGTAGACAGTAGTGTGTGAGACAGGGTAGACAGTAGTGTGTGTGTGACAGGTAGACAGTGTGTGTGTGTGAGACAGGTGGACAGTAGTGTGTGAGACAGGTAGGACAGTAGTGTGTGTGACAGGTAGACAGTAGGTGTGTGTGTGTGACAGGTAGACAGTAGTGTGTGTGTGGGAGACAGGTAGACAGTAGTGTGTGTGTGTGTGAGACAGGTAGACAGTAGTGTGTGTGTGTGTGTGTGTGTGGAGACAGGTAGACAGTAGTGTGTGGAGACAGGTACAGTAGTGTGTGTGACAGGTAGACAGTAGTGTGTGTGAGACAGGTAGACAGTGTGTGTGTGTGTGAGACAGGTAGATAGTAGTGTGTGTGTGTGACAGGTAGACAGTAGTGTGTGTGTGTGTGTGTGAGACAGGTAGACAGTAGTGTGTGTGTGAGACAGGTAGGGCAGGGTGTGGTGTGTGTGAGACAGGTAGACAGTAGTGTGTGTGGAGACAGACAGTAGTGTGTGTGTGTGACAGGTAGACAGTAGTGTGTGTGTGAGATGCAGGTAGAAGTAGTGTGTGTGTGTGTGTGAGACAGAGACAGTAGTGTGTGTGTGGACAGGTAGACAGGTGTGTGTGTGTGTGGACAGGCAGACAGTAGTGTGTGTGTGAGACAGGCAGAGTGGTGTGTGTGTGTGTGTGACAGGTGGGACAGTAGTGTGTGTGGGAGACAGGTAGACAGTAGTGTGTGTGAGACAGGTAGACAGTAGGTGTGTGTGAGACAGGTAGATGTAGTGTGTGTGTGAGACAGGTGACAGTAGTGTGTGTGAGACAGGTGGGCAGTAGTGTGTGAGACAGGTAGACAGTAGTGTGTGACAGGTAGACAGTAGTGTGTGTGAGACAGGTAGACAGTAGTGTGTGTGTGTGAGACAGGTAGACAGTAGTGTGTGTGTGAGACAGGTAGACAGTGTGTGTGACAGGTAGACAGTAGTGTGTGTGTGTGTGAGACAGGTAGACAGAGTGTGAGACAGGTAGACAGTAGTGTGTGTGAGACAGGTAGACAGTAGTGTGTGTGCAAGTAAGAAAATATGAGTCTGCAAGGGGTCGGTTGGCCTGGCATGGCAGCTCCTGTCGAGTTACTACCACTCTCTATCATCCATGAATAGCATTATGAGATGTGTGTGTGTGTGTGTGTGTGAACGTCAACTGAGCCTACACCTCTAACAGCCCCATTCTCTATATTAAACCCTTTGTAGGACAGAAAGCCCTAATTTCTACCTAAACTTAACTATTAGAATTATGGCCCATTAGTTTCAAATCCATTAGTAGCCAGGCCCATTAGCACTGTGGTCTATTAGCACTGGGGTCTGTTGAACACTGTTACTGAGCTCATTTTAGTTGACCACTGACTTCACGAGAGGAAAGGATTGTGTTAAGTCAGTCTGCGGGGATTATGCAGGTGCAGTGCTCTGTGGGCAGTTGTGTGGTAAAGGGCGAGAGAGTGTAAGTCTGGGAGAGAGCGACAGAAAATGCTGACGAACGATTGAAAGTTGTAAAGAGAAAAGAATAAAATAGCTGTTGTGGAGGATGAAGTGACGGTAAGAAACATAATGATATGAAGAGAAAATGTTAATAGCTGGTGATGTTCAGGTGAGATTGTGGCCGGAGCTGGTAGGTGAGAGATATATGATGGTCGGTGAAGGAGGGAGAGCTCTGTAAGAAATAACAATAAAGTTAAATTAGTTAAGGAGATAATCCCAGACTCACTGCTACATACTCACACAGTGGACAACAAGGTGGAATACATCAATATCTGGAATGTACTGAAAAAATAATTTTATACCGTTGGCAGGAAACTTGATTGGCCTGAGTTACCTGAGGAATATTAAACTGAGGAATGCAAACGATCTCACTGATAACAGCAATACGTACCGAACGAAGTATACTGA